TGGAATTAATTATATAGTTTTATATAATAGAGCAAAGAGAGGGAATTGGTATTAAAATAACTTTTGATATAAAATTTTTACCTGTAATAATAAATATATTTATGCGAAGTATATTTTATCCTTAAGTTTGTATTCATGTTTCTAAAATCCATATATAGTTCTAACAAACTCAATCGCATTATTTGAAAACCATTTATTTTTGAATTTTGAATTACATATTTGAAAGTGCGCTTTACTTACATTTGAAGCTCAGTTAGAACAGTATATATAACAGTATAACAGTTATAACAGTTTGAACAGTACCCAGCGAAAAATGATTTGTTGATTGACGTCAAAATGACATCAAATAAACGTTGAAATCGTCAAACCGACGTCAATTTGATATCATTTTGACGTCAATCAACGAATCATTTTTCACTAGGTATATAGATATCTTAAACATGAAGTCTTAAGGCTCCTGGAGAGTCGCATCATCCATCTCTTTTTAATGACGTCAGAAGCGAGAAAACGCATGCTAAAAATTCCTGCAAAATACGTCGAGATAAACAGATATATCCACAAAACGACATTTGCGATCGATTAAGTACACCTCTAAAATACTCCGTACACTTTCCTTTTGTTCTAACAATCAACAGATAATTATAAAATAAATGTGACGTGCAATCGTCTTTTCTAACCTAATTTCCTCATTATCTTGTCATATTAATTTTCCGATTATCTATTGATTTTTAGAACAAAAGGAAAGTGTACGGAGTATTTTAGAGATGTACTTAATCGATCGCAAATGTCGTTTTGTGGATATATCTGTTTATCTCGACGTATTTTGCAGGAATTTTTAGCATGCGTTTTCTCGCTTCTGACGTCATTAAAAAGAGATGGATGATGCGACTCCCCAGGAGCCTTAAATAGCTCAGTGGAAAGAGCGGTTGCAAGCGGAGAAGACCCGAGTTCGATCCCAGCCGAGTCTGATGTTTTTCATCTCATATGGCATTAAAAGTGGACATTTACAGATACACACAAGAGCAAAGCACCCCCGGCCAAAGTTTTCTGATCTTTCTTTCGTGTGAATACAATAAAATTTAATTAAATCCAAAGAAATCTTGAGTTGAAGTAATTCTATATGAATACTCTAAGAAGTTCTGAAGAAACTCCAATCATGGTGCATG